TCTTCCGTGCATCTGGCAACGTGGAGGAGTAGGCCAAAACACCCACCCATAGGGGGGCTCCCTCTAATGGTGATCCTTCCTACAGCAGCGGCGTGAGCGGGCGACAGCAGAAATGCTGCACCTTTACCTGCATGGCAAGTACGAATGTGACTGTGTGTAAACAACGTGTGGAAATAAATGTGTCAGTGGCAATTAGAGCCTTTTCAGAAGGAGACAAATGAAAGCCTTAACGCGTTATATGCGGCATAAAGAACACACGTGCACAAGCGTAACCTTTGCAGAGAGCGCGCGCACCTGTGTACAGCACGCAAGTGCCGCGGATATTTTTTGGGGGGGGATATGGTGGGGGGGGGGGGGTAGCAATCATAGCTGTTATACACTACACAAATCACTTTAAATAAAGCACGGACAAATTAACTTTTTTGAAATTATACACAAGCACAGGCCGCACATGCCCGCACTCCCCCCAACCACCGCCTTACATTTCAAGTAGCTTGTAAAAACAATAACATTCTCCCCGTCTCCCTGCACATTCCAGGTGAAGGGGGCCTCGTGCAGGGGAGAGATTGGAATCAACGGGGTTCGTCGGAACGGGAGCCAGCGATTGAGCGCCGCTATTTTCACGAGCCCCAACTGGACTACCTGCACCACATGCACGAGCTGTCCATTGCCAGTGGCCTTAAGCGTAGGAACACGCACGCCGGACAATGCGGAGAGGGGTGACCACACTGTGGGTGTCGTGGGTTACTTGGGCACCAGTGGCTCAGAGACACGGCACAACATTTTGGGCGGAATTCATTCGTGGTAAAAAAACTACAAATCTCCCTTACACAGGGCGACATAAGCAACGAAACCTCCGATTGCTTCCCCCGCGCCTCCGATTAGCACGGTTGGCGGCAACGTACGGCGTGAAAGAAATTCAACATACTCTACATAGATGCCGATAACGAAACCTTAGAGTCACGGTAGCGCACGAACTGCGGTGTTAAGTGCCGAGTCAGTAGTGGCCAGGACTGCAGGTGGCGAGAATGAACTTCGTTATCGTTACAGGGGAGCTCTCGTCCCTGACGACAAGGTGGGGGTTGTGGAACTTCAAGGACCCTTTGTGTAACCTACCCTGTAACCACCAGGAATCAATTAGATCCCTTCGTCAATCCGCGTGTATATAAATCAGGAACAATCTGCCTGAATGAACCCAAGAATATCGAAACTGGCTCAGAGTTCACTTACTGAAACAACTGTTGCTTCTGGGTGATATTGGTTAAAGATAACTAATTGGCCGATGGACTAAACAATGTTTCTAGATTTTTTTGTGGGACCACAGAACGGAGTTTTGATGACCTATGTTAATCTCAAGGATTGTTTTCAGGAGGATCCTGCATTGGGATGTTTGACCAATACCTGAGTGAAGAGCGTATTTTCAGATGAAAACCAGCATTGGAAAGAACATCCACACACACACAAGAAGACGAAACTTAAGCGTTTGCAACAGATGGGTCACTTGCCCACTTGCTGTACTGCCATCTGCCAATCTCAAAAGAGGCCCAGCTGACTTGAGAGTTTCACGAACCGCCGTGATCCTCTGACCCCCGTCTCCTCAAGCGATGGCTGACACGGGGGTGGGGGGGTGGGGAGGTGCCACCACAATAATCATTCTTAGTTACTTCCCACCCCCCCACGATTGTATTTTTTTTCTAATGCATTCCGTTTTTTCTAATGCATTCCGTTATAAATCTGCGGTTGCCTCGCTTCGTACGCAGGGGGTTACCGTCGTGAAACAGAGCGATGTGCTGTGATTACCACAACACAGTTGTGCATCTATTCATGTAAAGCCTTCAAAATTACGAGTATCATTCAATCCGCCAGGGTGACACTTTACATTGACTACAGTTTTAAGCACGTGTTATAGCATACAACTCGCAGTTTGCAACCTCTTATGAAACTCATGAATCATTATATTCACAATGCTACCACATAGGTTGCCGTGGTTGGCCTGTAACAGCTCAATTCGGTTCCGGGAGAAGTTATCGGCACGTGGAGCGGAACGTCGGACACCGTGCTAAAGAACATGCGGTGCAACCCAGGAACACATCGGCGGCATTCGTGTCAACGATCCAAAAGGGCTCAGTTGACCGAGTCATTGTCATCACAATATTTTTCAAACCGGACGATGTGATCATCTTGGATATGTCATAAAATATCGCAGAATCGCAACATCGCACCAACCTTAATCACAGGTGGCCAAGGTGATGCTTAGGCTTTGAGAGGGTGCCTAGCTGCCGAATTCGCAGCTCTCCGCTACGCCACACGCTTTTCGAGACATTCGCGGTGTGTGAGGGTTCAAATGGCCACGATTGAGAGCGGGAGATAATTTCAATAAAACACCTTTCAAACTCTGCACTCACAAGTCGGTCTATTGACCCGTTTTTTTAAAATATCTTTTTCTATCGCCTTCCAAACGGAAGTATTCTAATTCTAATGCTAATGCTGAACAGCATTTGCCGCAGAAGCGTAATTGGCTTTTTACCAGGATATTGAAAGCCTCGTCTCCGGGTGCACGACACCCGGCTCTGTTTGCATTCTGTTACCGGCGGACGCACCAAAAAGGGCGGCGCTGTTGGTGCGTTTGCGCGAGACGCGCGGGATGAACACGAGAGACGGCCGGCAGCAGCACGCTCACGGCGAGCAATGCAGCGGTGTGGCGGCACCTCGGCTGCCTCCGTTACAGGGCCGAGGGTAACCTCTTGGCGCAACACGAAAAGACGTCTTCAGAGTGCGACGGTCGTAAGTGAGCCAATTCATTTCCATCGTTGACATTTGCCATGCGATTTGTTGACTGTTATGATCGATTGGCCGTATTCAAGCGTAACGCGTCGTATTTTTTGCCTCGTACTTGGAATAAAAAAAAAAACCGTTGGGAGTGCGTCTCATAATCAGGATGATTGCATTGTCTTCCCGGTGACGTGTTTTTAATCCGGTTGTTCAGAACAATCTTCGGCAAGAAGGGTATGCATACCGATATGAGACCATTAGCACCTAAAAGATACTCACCAGCGAGTATATTTTAGAACAATGCAGAATAGGCACAAGATGTGGATTGGGCACGTTCCCTAAGGTGAACATTCTGGAAGGATGGGATGTCGGAAATGATGGTTGTAATACTGCTGATGATGCTGTGCGTGACGATGATGATGCTGTGCGGGATGATGATCCAGAAAAGGCAGAAGAAGTGGAATGGGCACATTCCCAGAGGTGAAACTACGATGGAGGAAGTTCTGGAAGGGAAGGATGTTGCTAAAGAGGCCAAGAGGCACAAGAAGGAAGATGCTGCTTGAGGCAAGCGAGCACGGAAGGAAGGCATGCAGGAGGGCGGGGGGGGGGACAGCAACAGAAGAAGACAGCTCAAGAACGGACGAAATGGAGGGAATTCGAGCCAGGGAGCTGCCATTGGGTAGAGGACACGTGAAGAGACGCAGCAAAGCTTCAAGGCCTACACAAAATGTGAGATCTGCCTCGTGCCAGCGTGAGGCAGGGCTATTATTGCGCTGCAGAGCTCATGACTGCGCGCTCTCTCTCTCTCTATAGGGTGGCTGCTTGGGTAAGTAACGTGCACAGTATTTACTGAGCGCTTAGGAGACATTAAAATTGCTGTCCTGGGAACCCCTTGTGAATGGGACAGCTTTCAGGAGCAGACGGGTCCTTGCACAAAAAACGAGGTTGATGAAGAGCAGAGCACTCACCGGCACTCACGTACACTCTTCACCTCCCCTGCACTCTGAGAGGGTACAGCAAGTAGGTTCATAACCAGCTGCACTCATAGTGCGGTGGGATGGAGCAGTTGCCCAGTGGTTAACTACCGATCCAGATCATTATAAGATTTGCTTTATAATGAAGAGTTACTATTCCCTGTTGTCTTTTGAATTTATGTTGAACGTCTTTCGCACCGTACGTAGCCAACCGTGCTAATCCAATGTTTTGTAAGTGTAACTTGATTTACGGGTGCAGCGATTGGCCAGTTATTAATGTATACTGGCTATGACACTGGTAACCCAAGTATGATGTTGACTTAAAGCTTTCGTGACTGCAGGTATTCATATTCATGGGTCTGTCGGTAAAGTCACGTTGATAGGTTTAAAGAAAATAACAAAAACACGTTGTTTGATGCCCAACCACAGCTAGCGCTAATGACGAGTGATATATAAACTGGTCCTGCCTACCAACCCACTTCGAAAAAGTTATCTAACCAGGATCATGATCGATCTCAACCCTTAGTGTTGTGTTCATGAAATTGGTGCTGAACATTTGTCAACTAATAGTGCTTTTTTATTTGAAGTCAATGATGAGTACGAGTGGAGACACGCAGTGAGACAATGCTGGTGACGGTAGATCGGAGGCTGCAGTGCACTTGAGGGTGACCAAAAATGACAATTGGCCACCCTGTACATGTACGGCTTATGAAACGAATTTTTGATTCGGCTGACCAAATTTCATGCCCCTCACCAAGCAACATTTAAAACCGAGTGGCCTGACTAAACATGTGACCGCCACAGTCGGCTAGACTAACATGACCGACGACATGAACTCCGCAGACTAGCAAAGTGGCTAAGCTATCACGGGTCGCTGTTCGTAAGCAACTATCCCGAGACGATGTCTTGACGCAAAATTATGAATCGGAGCTCGGGAGCTACGCGGTGTTGGGTCCGGGTCGCGCTTGGCCAAGCCACCACCACCATCACTACCACTACGGTACAAGCCAGGTGCAGTAGGCGCTGTGGACAGCAGAGAGCAGCGCTGCGAAATACGTCGAAACTGCCCACCCCGCTGACCTTCGCCAAACCCGCATTGGCCGTCGTGGTGAAGTATGGTCAAATATTAGATTTTTGGGTCTTTCGGTAAAGCCACGTAGATAGAAAACAAAAATATCACGACGTTTCGATCGCAACGCAAGCAAGTGTCATCAGGTGAAGCGTCGTGATTTATTTTTTTCTACGTGGCTTTACCAAAAGACCCATAGAATATGAATTCCTGCAGTCACGAAAGCTTTAAGTCAAGATGGTCAAATATGCCTTGTGCGGCCGCAAGGTGCGTGTGGGGTGGCCCTCATCCAGCAGTGGATCGCACTCACGTCGATGCACCAAACACACTCAATGCAACATCTGCTGTGTCCACATCCCGGCAGAGAGAGAAAAAAGAAACCCCAGCACACAACTGAGTCGCAGTAACGCGAGAAACACATTCACCGAGTGCGATGCCCCGTGCAGCTCCAAATGTCTGCGGGGTCTAGTTACTGCGTTCTATTAAATGCTTGGTTTGTCGTCGTTAATCGTCGAGAAGGGCTGACGCGGCTGCTGAAAACACCATGCAGACATTATTCCTGTTTGGAAGTCGCCCACTGGCAAGGCAGGAGGAGGAGGGCTATTTTGAGATGAATCACCGAATATGCAAATGATGTCTTTCTGACGTGACGTGCTCTACATATTAAGTGGGCACGGGCTAAGCCACCCCCAACCCCCACCCACTCCTCCTCCTCCATTCCCAATCGCTGTAAATGTCCACTCGTGATGAGACCCGCGGATCAGAAAAAAATTAACCCAGCCACGAACACACAGTGCGCACACGCGCGCTCACAGACACACGCACACGCGCGCACGTCAGCCAGGAGCTCCTCCTATTTAACAATCAAACTAATTAGGCGCGTACGGATTGCATATTGATACACCGGCGTACAGCGCGCTTTAACGTAGCGGCATTGCCTTTGATGCGCTATATATTTAAAAAAAACACTTATTGCATAGTGCACGACGTATGCACAACTGTGCTGTAGATCGTAATGAAATCAAAAGGATCGTGCCGCGCATTGGCGCGTGACACGTGGGGAAGCGATGGTGGCACCAAAACAAGAACCTCATTGAAGGCCCGACGGAGGAGCGGCGCTGGGTTTGTCTCCGCTGCCCTGACGAGAGACTTTGGGGACCGCTCTCAACCATGGCACGACACAGACGACGACGCGGAAGGAGGTGCGGATGTTTCCTCGACGAATGGAACGTGTCGAGGGCTCCCCAAACCGCGAACGCGGCGAGACGCAATGCATCGGGCGTGCATCGCCGATGACAGACCACCACGACACGTTTCGTTACGGTGGAACAAGCGGACTCCACTCGGCTACCCAGGATGCCGTAGAATGGCCTGCAAATTTAACAAATGCAATATGAAGGGAGATATATGCAATAAAATAACAAATTATTGAAAGTTCGTATTTAATCCACTGCTAGATGAATACTCCCCCCCCCCACCCACATGCCATTTGTTTGACCATACTTCCCCATATTGGTCAACGCGGGTATCTGAATTCTGCACCAGTTCAGATTTCACTTAAAGCTGATGTTAGCCGTGGCCGGGAGTTGAACTTGAGTGTGCTAACTGCTGCAACCATCACTCTACCTTAATTATAACAAAGCATTATGTATGTGTCTGCCCAGGAAACATCGAATTGAATTTGAAGACTCTTTACCGAGCGGTTGTCATCTTTGCACTCCTTAGCAAATGGCATTTGCACCCAGCAGAAACTGAAGACGGCCTGGAGAAAGCCCATAAGTGCGATGGGTATAACCCTCGAATATCCACACGGATGGATTCAATGAACCCACTCCACTTGATGCACTGCCCATAAATTCCCGGAGGTCCCGGGGCTGTGGGCTCAGATCATCGTGCCAGGTGGGGGCCCCTTACCCATTAAACACAAATACGGGTCCATGGTGTGATCCTCTTCAGTATGTATACTGAACTTCCTTTTGTGTGAAGCCCAGGGAACATATCCCCCTCTTGCCCCCACTCCCCGCCCTTCCTTCTGGGTCACACGGTTTTTCCATCTCTACTCTGTCCACTAACCCTGCCTGGATTGCAGGCAAAAGCCAATCAAGCACAGCACAACAGAATTGCTGAACAACCTGGCCATGTCACCGTGGTTTGTGTTTTGGAACCTGCCTCGTCCATGCCTTGGCGATGGTTACTACGGCTTCACTTGTACATTATTGGTCAGCTGTTTAAGAATGTGTTAGCGGGTGAGGGGAGACGGGTGGGGGAAATAAGCTTTTGGGAAATGAAAAGGATTATGGAGGCATGCAGAAAATGCAGCAGACATTGGTCTTTTCAGCTAGGCTGCAGTGCACCGAGCACTTAATCAGCAGATTAAGGTAATATCATCCTGCTTGTTTGAAAACTCAACCTTCCCTTCTATTCTGTTTCAAAAATATTTTTGTGCACTCGAATATAAACATATATCCACACACACACGTGTGTAGATTTGCGATGGGCTGTTGGGTTTTTAAGCACGATGTAATTTTGTAGCACATATATATTTTTTTAGGTTTGTTATGTTTCCGTTTCGACATTGAATGCTGCGTTTGCTCGTGGAAAACTGTTAATATGCCATCTCTAACACTTTTACACATTTTCAAGGCCCCCCCCCCCCCCCCCCCCCCCCCATACTGTCCGGCGTATGAGCTTCAAACCCTTCTGCCCTCTTACTGCCAAAAGCATTCAGAACCATCAGCCATGGTCAATCCACTGCTAATTTGAGGTCGTGCTACCACTTTCCAAAGGCAAAACGAGCACACAGCCCTGAATCTATAAAACTGTGCAGTCCACTGCAATACATATCAACAGAATACCACCAGATCTTGGTACGAATAAATTCCTATCACCAGATGCTAAATTCCTGGAGTGTGTGAGTCAGCTGGACAGATGCTAACCCTACGCCTGATGAAGGCCTACATACCAAGCTGCTGCCACCTCCCGCTATCCTGCACATGAACCTGCACGTGAACTAAATGTGCGCGCTGCCACAAGGCAACTCATTCTCTCCCTCTCTCCACACATCGCTTTCTCTCTCTCCCCGCGCCCACCCGTTAACTTAACTCGGTTACTCTGGCTCATTTCCAGCTCCCCAAAAATGGACAGTCTCAAACTCCTAAGGTGACTGTATTGCGGGCTCATTAGCTTGTAATCTCGTTCGCGTTCTCCTCCGGTTGCTAAAGTAAACAGCAGCAACCATGGCGACACGGGGTTTTTTCTTCTTTTTCTTCTTCGGGCCATTCCGAGTCAGTGAGTCATCACTAACCTTAAACAATGAACAGACTTGTACAATGTTTACTCTTTCCACAAGCCCACACAGTATCAGCAGATGAGATGTCATGCTAATTTCCCCCTCCGCCCCCAACTCCCCACCCACCCTCTACGCTGACCGCCCCCCACCCCCCAAACAAGCTCGCAGGGAGAAGTAGAGAAGAGCCCCTCTTGGTCCCGTCGGAAAGGGAAGTGCTGGAAAGATCGACGGAGACGGACGCGTCCCTCGATGCCCCGGTTCGAGACGGCGTGGCACGGGCGCTCTGAGACCAAAATAAATCCCTTCTTTGCACCACCTGAGGTGGCAAAGTCCAGTAATGATTTATGTAATCCTCCATGTGTGTGGGACATGTTCTGATATGATAACCTCTGCGGAGTGGCAGCTTAGTTGTAGTTACCATGACTTTTATACCAATACCCTATGACAGGCGTCCGGAACGATGTAATTGGGCATTATGACTAAAAAATACCTAGACCAAAGCCAGTTAGGTCACAAACTGGTCTTTATTGGTTTAAATGCACAATGAAAACACAGAGTAATATGGAATACCATAGTGAGGTAAGGAACTACTTGAATATTATAAACATTGACATTCGCATATACTTAGTCGATGATACATGTAATCCCATATATGTCGTTAGTGAGGGTATATGTGAAGAAGGTTACATTATTGTTATCAAGCTCTGTGTGTACTTAGATGGTGTTAACAAGGGTAACCAAGTACAGAATCACCACACTGTGCATAAATGTATACTACTACTACCACAGTAATACCATCAGTATCACCACACTGCATCAATGTATACTACTACTACCACAGTAATACCATCAGTATCACCACCCTGTGTCACTCAAACTGCTCGTCTATCTCGTCATCTGACTCCCCGAGTTCAAAGTCAGGTTCTGGATCATCCTGCAATTTTTTGTTACTGCAGCTCTGTAACCCTCACAGGTCTGTGCATGTCAGTCTATTTGACAGGCACGGGCAGCTTGGCATTCTGCATGAACGCACACATTTGCATGCTAGCAGTTCCAAGACCACATCTTGTGCAGGTGGGGAGCGCATCCAGTAAATAGCCAGCTTGCCATCATCGTCTGTACATCCATACTCAGTAGGGCTTGGCAAGACAGGGTTAGCCTGTAGACAGCACTTCCAGATTGCTGCCTGAAAGTTGGCTCGTTGAACATGCGTGAAGAGAGACAGTCTCTACATGGTGGCAGCTGGCTGGACTCGACTTCTCCCCTTTTGGTGCAGAAGAGCTGGTAGCGCAGTTCGTTCACCTCACCAGTGCTGCTATTAGCAACATACAGGTGATAGGTGAACTGCTCAATTGTCTGGAACAGCTCATCACTCAAATTCCATGGCTGGCCCAGTCGACTAAAAGTCTCTTGGCAGGAAGTGTCCTTTCTCACCATCTTCAGGGCATTCAGCTTCCCTCGACCGGCGAATGCACGGACAGTGTCGCAGCCTGTGAAGGCGTGTAAGCCAATTAGGCTGTCACAGATGCTGTCTGCAAGTGACATTGCCAGTTTGCTGATATCGACAAACCGTGTGCGGTTCTGTGTCCTACACTTCTGGTAGATGGGACAGGTGATATCCTTCTGGAAGCCAAGACAAAGCACCAGGCTCATCCCATCAATGATGGAAGTAGATGGGGTTGGGGTGTCCTCTGCAGGAGACATTATTTTCAAACTCTCTGGCAAGTGCAGCCTTGTTTGTTTTTTGTAGGGACCCATCAGCATTTGCCAGTGCCCATTGCAGTGGGCCCAGTGGGTGGGCAAGGACATCCTTCATATTGACCTTCCTGCTTTCAGCCACCAGGATCATGTGGCTGAACATGTTTATATCTGCTTTCAGAACCACATCCTCTGCTTTCTTTCCATGTGCTGTTTGTGTGCTGATATTGGAGAATGTCTTCAGACTTTGCTTGGTCATCTTGTGATGGGATTTCACAGATGGTGGGTCCTCAGCTAACCTTGTTTGTTTGAATACCTGGTAGGCCTCTTCTCCTATCTCAAGAGCTCTCTATAGAACCATGGTGCCAGTGGAGAGACTAACCCGATCTGTCTCATCAGGAGACATAGGATTGATCCAGTTATTCTCCAAAAGGTCATTGAGAGACTGGACATCTGCTTCATCTCAGACAGCTGAGAGACCGGACCTATCAGGTCTCTCAGCTGTCGGAGGTACATGCTTCTGAACTCAGCTATTATGGAATATTTGGTCACGGCTCCTGGCTTCAAGCTGAATCCCTTTGTCCCTCCAGCTGTCTGGGTGTCTTTGTTCACCGTTTCTTCTATAGTTTGGTCAACAGGGATTCGGCCAAAGGGATTGGTGGAGCCCAGTTGAACTGAGAGCCTCCTTCCATGAATTCCTTGTACACATCTGGGTGTGTGATGGGCAGCTGAGACATCTGGGCGTAGCAGTAGGGGAGGTAGTGTGCATAATGCTTCCTATCATAAGCAAAGTACAATGGTATCATTGCTCGAACGCTTGCCAAGTGTAGCATCCAGTCTCCCTCTCTGGATGCTCGAATGAGCCCCAACAAGATTTCAACCATGTCCAAATAGGACGTCCAGAAGGTCGAGAGGCTGCTGTTTCCACCTCTGAGGATCTCGCGGTAGACTTCAAACAGTTCCATGATGTGTGTACATGAGCTGTTCTCGAGGACCTCCTTCAAAGTGACTTGTGAGACTTCTTTCCCAAGGTTGTCAATGGTCCTCAGTGTCTCATCCAGGTGAAACACTTCGTTCATGTGAGTTGCTTCCAACCAGGACAGGAAACCATTCCATGTGAGTCGCACGAGAGCCGCATACAGCAGCTTGTGTAGTCGCACTGCCCTGCTGTACTTGCGGCCATCCATAGCACCAGCAATGGAGCCTTCTGCGATCATGCAAGACTCAATGCAGAGATCTCGGAGTCCAGCATCTTGGAAACGCTTTATTATTATTGTAAGCAGTATGTAGAATTATGTGGCTTTACCTATTATGAAACATGAGTTGTCAAACTCGGCATTCAATATGTCATTTTGAGAACATTACAATGCCAGTTCAGGCATTGTGATGCTAGTAGCAATGATATTTGAGAGTTATACTCGTGTACCCCCTCTTATTGCCATGACAGCAAAGTAAATAGCCAGAGAATAAGCTTTACAATGATATGCAATTCAACTAGGTTATTTCTTAAAATGCGGAAACAAATAGCGATGAAACATGCTAAAAAACGCAAATATAAGGCTTTGTTTACTTGGCGAAGTTTGCATAAAATCGTGAAAACGAACAAATAATAAAATATTAAGTTAGTTTTCATGATTTTAATAATCAATTATCACCAACAAAGTTATTGGTAATAATTGTATCCAATTTATAGAAGCAAAATATCTAAAAATATCAAAATTGACAAACTGAACAAAAATAATACTTTTTGCCTATAGTACCTGGCCTTAACTAATAATCTTAACAGGAACATTAACAATACACTGAGCGTAAAGTTAGCACTTTAGATATCTTTACCAAACAGAAATAATACATACAGAACCACCAGTACTTGCCTCACCTGCCAGTAAATGAACATGAGCAAACAAGCTGCTAGAAACAGAAGGGAAACAGAGAGCGCCAATCTATCTTCTTTGGTTCTTTCGGTAAAGTCACGTAGAATGAGAATAAAATAATAAAATAAAACTATCAAATTCTCAGACTTCACTAAGTCACTGAAATTTAAGAACAAGCGTGAATAAATGCAGGAGTATGTATGAAATACATGCCTTGGGGATAAACATCAATTTTGTAAATTATGTATTGTCTTAATTAACAGCAGAGGTGTTGGAATGTTTTATTTGTAACATCAGGGCAAATAGGCGTGATTGCGATAGGTGCAAAAACAGGTTTCCTGCGAGAAAAAATTAAACAGCTGCTCATTTGGAAAGGTTTTTATGTATGTTTTTACTTCTGTTGGTGTAACAAATAAAATGGCACCATTGAAGTTTTGCCACTATGGGCGGTACCGATATCTGGTCTGGCCCAAGGGCTACTTGTGTGGTGGGGAGCGACAGTCCTTGTCGCCAAGGTTTCATACCTGGCTGTGCTGATCGCCAGCGACAACTGAAATGTGAATCTGGCCCTTGACATCTGCTGGGTCAATGTCACCTGGAGTGTTAGATAACACTGGGAAGACAACGGGCATGGCTAGTCCTGGTCAAAGCCTCATCATCCACTTGAGTGTCACACAGCATTAACAGGTGCTCGCGAACAACACTTTCCCGATTAGACTGCGATCTTAAATGGGGGAGCTTTGGCTTTGGTTGTGTATAAATGTATATAAACACTCGTGTGTGTGTTTGTGTGCGAGACAAAGCGAGTCTGGCAGTGTGAGTGTGTTGTACACTTGCACGCCTGTACGCACACGTGCAAACGTTTGTCTGTGCACATGTTGGTGTCTGTTCGTGTCAATGGTGCGGAGCGGTGGTGCAGCGGTTAGCGTGTTGCGCTATGAACCTGGCGACCCGAGTCGATTCTCGCTCACGGCCAACACCAGTGACGATTATCTGAACCTGTTCATGGCCTCCCCGAGGTCGACTCAAATGAGTACCTGGTGCGGTGTGTAAACATCGGGCGTGGTGCTGGCCACCCACCCCTTCGTGTACCGTGCCCGCCTTCATACAGTAGGAGCTCGCTAACAGCACTTGCCCCATCAGTCTGTTCAGGTTATACCGGGGGATCTTTGTCTTTGTCTTGCGTACACAACGTGTGCACGCACAGAATTCCTCTGCTCAGCTCACTTTCTGGGATGGGGGGGGATGGAGGGCGGTGGCTGGAGTTGGGGGTGGAATGACCCAATATCTGGGTTTTCTTCTCGTCATTGTCCATCCCAGCGTTTGTACATATGTCCGGGTACTCGAGTAAGCATACTTAAGCGTGTAAATGAACCGTCTTATTTTTTGTACGGTTTTTTTTTGCGATTAAAATCAATAAACACTTTCCACGATTATGTCGCTGGTTCGGAAAGTGAAATAAAAACAAGTTTGCGGGAGTCGAGGTGGGTGCGGCAGGAGGAGTGGGGGGGGGGCATGGGTGGGTGGGGATGCATTAATGGGTTTTTGTGTGGCCAACTCCTGTCGGGCAGCTGTGGACTGTAAATAATAGAGGCCCAATGCATCACGCGCTGCCCCGTCGCACTCCCTTACGAGGGCCAGACACATGCAGGGATTTTCATTGCAGCTCAGAAAAAAAAATGAACACGAGTTATGTCACGTGCATCTATCATGAGCCCCGACGCCGATTCTGCACGAGAACGATGCACAATGCCTCCCCCGCTTGAAAGTCCAGAAAAAAAAATAGTGGGCGGAGGTTTTTGTTTTATTTCTTCAAAATATATACATACGCCTTCATATACATCCTATAGAAAATGCGTGCACAGAAAGTGAAGATTCTGATGAAGCAGGAAACACCCCCCCCCCCCCCCCCACTGACTCTCAGGACTGCTACAGGACGAAGAGGAGGAGAGTCTCGACCTCGGGTGATTTGCTCAATTCCTCTTCAGCACGTTTGCAACAAACGAGCGCTGACTTTTGGTTCCGCACATTACCGGCTACGACCGACGCATCGGGCTGCTGCGTGAAGGCCTCCCACCTACCCCCTCCCCCCCCAAATACACCTCTACGTGATCCCGCAACGTAAACATCGACCGTCCAAGCACGTGCTTTATTTCATCGCCCCGTCTTCAAGGTGGACGTCCTCCGAGGCGCGTTCCCTCCCATGACTGCAATTCCTTCGTTAGCCTCGGCCATCAGCCTTTCTAGCGACGCGTCCTGGTCAGACCCACTCGATTTTATTGACATTCAAAATGTATTCGACCTGCGTATGTTTTCGAATCCGCGTGTTCCTCTTTGTGTCTCTCAGTATAATTCCAAGCGAGCATCTTTCCCACACTTCTTTGCGCAATTAGACACTTGTACTCTAGCAACGAAGATACTGCTTGCATTTCAGCAATATACGATTTATAAATATTTCTCGCTAAACCTTAGATATGTTACCACGTTTTGAAGTAATTCCAAGGAAAATATCTTCAGCCTTCTGCGTGTGATAACATTTGATATCTATCAAAGTGTTCACCCAAGGCACGTAGTAGGATTTGCGGAAGAGGCTATGGCACGCAGCTGCGTGGGTTTTCGCCGTTGTGCTGCTGTGCGGATCTCTGGTAAAGCGTGTTCGTCGAATCCTCACCGCATCTCATTCGGCACGATGTCCGACGTTTTGCTCCACGTGCTGGGGGAGCTTCTTCAGGAATTGGAGCAAAACGTCGAATAATCGTGCCGAACGACACGCAGTAACAAGACGCATCCGAGAGCTGACTCAATTCACCAAAGCGCCACCGAAAACAGCAGCAGATTCTGCCACAGTTGAGCAAACAGAGTGAGTGCTATCAGACTTTGTAAAAGAGGCGCTGTTGTTTCACGGACCTCACTCTCTCTCTCTTCATTTCACCTCCCGGTTCGTTAGAATTGAAGGAGATTACCGACACCGCTTGCCGAACGTAATCATAAAAAACGTCGCCGACACTTTGGGGAATTCCTTCACCTCTTTAGCTCGAATTATCCCGGCACTTCACAGTGGGGGGAGGGGGGGGGTGCGGGGAGGGGGGGTGATACCAAATAAATCGGACCATGTATGATGTGAACCTCTTTCGCACCCTACATCGCCAAACGTCCGTATCGGAGATGCTCACAGCAATGACGGCAGCCAGCAAAGCCCCCTCCCCCCCTCCCATCCACGGGAAGCTGTTCCCCTTTAATTTACTTTTCAATCATGAATCCAGAAAAAATAATTGTGGCGACATAACAACAAGAAACTCTCCGCCACGCAAACTGACACATTCTCGAATGTGCAACAACGCTCTCTGCACACACACACACACGTGTGTGTGTACACGTGAGCGCGCGCGCCACTCGCCACTTTTGTTTCCTGCGATACACAAAACAGTTACACCCATCCTGTGCGGTCGCGCGGTGCAGCTTTGGCAGCAGCGCCTCCTCCTCCTCCGTGCGGACGAGCCGCGGCCGCGGCGGTGGCTTTAACGCAGATTACGAGCAATAATAGCGGCGCGCGTGTAATGGCACACCTAAAGCCGTCCTGCCGCGAGAGTCAAAGGGATCGCTCTTCCTTGGCATCGTAATTACCGCCGTCATTACCGCTCACCTGTCGCACCGCCAATTCCTGGCGGAATGCGGGAAATCGCAGACGGCATGGGGGGGGAGGTGCGGCGGGAAGTGGGGAAGCTCGTAACGGGCGCGAGCGTGGCTTTTGCGTGACGCTTGCGCGGACTTTTACCTCCCGCTGTTTGACTCGACTGACCTTAAATCTGGAATCTCGCGTGACCCACCCACCCACCCTCCCACCCGACTCCTTCCCCATTCGACTGCGCCGGTCTCCACGCGGGCGGCCGCGGCAGTCCCCCAGTCGCGGCGGCGGAGCGACGCGGATTTGTCAAGGAGGCCGAAACGTCGCCGTTCAATCGCGGAGGCGCGCGCGCGAGCACGGACGGCGTGGGTCGGGTTGTCGTCTCGGCCGGCCAGAGCAGCCGAGCAGCCGAGGAGTCGAGGAGTCGAGCGTCCGCGGCGGTCGAATCCGCGCGGCCGCCCGCGATCGCCGCTGGGTTTCTCAAGCGGAGCACAGCGGACGCTCTTGGCTCGGATTATTAAAACTGGCCCCGTGTTAGCATTCCTGTCGCGTGTGTTTTCGGGTTATGCCGCGCATTGTTTCGGCACAACGTCCGACGTTTCGCTTTGTGCACTGAAAGCTCCTGCTTGTTCAGGAACAAGTTCAGTTCTTGGAGGAACACATTTCAGCTATCGAGGAACAAATTCAGTTATTTGGACTTGACCGCGCGTCCGTCCATCCCTTCCATCATAAGTTGACGTCCTGCCTGCTAGCCAGCAATGTAGTAGGGCCCTATTAAAAAAAAAATAACCCCGCCCCCCGAACTATCCCCAACCCCTCCACCCCCCATTCGACCCCCCCAGGGTGTTTCTGGATGCCCCCGCTGGCAGTCAGCGAGAGTTGTGGGGGTAATGGGAAGGCTTGAGTGGGTGACTCAAGAGGCCGTATCGCATCGCAGCACTGAACTGATATCAACCACGAGCTGGGTAAACTCCAGATTGCAGCAAACTTTGACTAGATCACGCTGTCAAACGTAGTGAGTTCATGATCTTGTCCCAGTTACGGTATGGGTAGCAATGAAATGGGAGCGATGGAAAAACAGAATGAGCGTGTGCGTAGGTGCTACGCTATATGTAGCCATGTCTCACACGATGAGATATGGCTACATATGGGGAGGAGCTAATCCAGCAGTAGATTAATCATGGCTGATGATGATGTTGATTATCGATAGACTCATAAGCAGTATCCTTCACACAGCTATTATTCGTTCGCTAACAAAGACTGTATTATGACATATAAAATATCCTCTAAACAGACATAGCTCCGGTTTGTAATTCCCATCTGTAAATTCACCACCGTCCAAAACACTTTGCTCTCTGTGCAATTGACACAGGGGGACGTCTGTTGAGAGAATGACAACACAGAAATGTGCACAAACCT